GAAAAATGTTAATGCTGATTCATTGGGCAATTGTTTAAGACGTTGAAGGTCATGAATTAGGGAAGGTAAATCTCTAGAATCACCAAAGTGTAGAGTTAATAGTTTCTTTATTTCTAGATATGAATCAGGATTCCTAGAATTAATTAATTGAGCTGCTTTACCGCGGAGCTTATTTTTAATGTGAATAACTAAAAGAATTTTTTGTTGCGTTGTTGCCATATTATAAGCACAATCACACGCGTTTATAAAATTTCCTAAAAAGATTTGGTCACCCTCAAATTCAGGTACGATACAGAAAATTTCCGAAAGTTTATATGGTTCAACTTCCAGCATTGTACTAGGTTCGTCTGATTGAGTTGCCATTATTTTAGGTTTTAAGAAAAAGCAAATAAATTTATAAGAAGTTCAAACACAATTATTTTTTGTTTTAAATATTGCCAAGTTAAACTTGGAGACTAAAATTTAATCAAAATAATTATCGCGGAACGATTCTACGTTGGGAAATTCAATAAATAGGTAATTTTCAACCTTGGGTAATCGAACGTAATAAATTCAACAATGTTGCAAATTAAAAATAAAATTATTCGTAACGATTCTTAACACTTACAGTAATATTTTCATTGCTGCCTTTCGAGACGGTTGATGGGTTTATCCTTGTTCCGGTACGATGGGCTGTCTTCGTTGTTCCCTAGATTTAGGGGTCGGAATCTGCCGCCACTAGTTAGAATACTCGTGTTCTAGCAACGTGAACAGATCCTACTCCGAATTCTTGCCTCTCGAAACGGTGATGGAAGGTTCCTTGTTCCGGCACGACTGGGCTGCGATGGTTCTTCTTTCCGTCTAAGGGATTGGAATCCGCCGTCACTAGTTAGAATACTCGTGTTCTAGCAACGTGAACGGATCCTACCGACTGCGCCAATTTTTATATTTCACTTTTCAAAAATAACTTTTTTAAAAAATATATTTATTAACTTTAAATTAAAGTAAAAATCAAAATGAAATTGGACGTAATAACCTCGTGACGAGAGAATGTTATTAGACCGTTAAAATCAAACTAAAAATGGACATAATAACCTCGTGATGAGAGAATGTTATCAGACCGTTAAAATCAAACTAAAAATGGACATAATAACCTCGTGATGAGAGAATGTTATCAGACCGTTAAAATACAAGTAAAAATGGACATAATAACCTCGTGATGAGAGAATGTTATCAGACAACGTTTTACAATAGAAATTCGTATTTATAATAAATTTATGCTGACGTTGACGGGGTCGACGGCTGCGGATGTTGCGACATATCGTTGACACGACGTTTTCGCAATCGTTGCACTCTTGCAGGTCGGTTGGATTTAACCCATATGGACAATAGGATTTCCGGATATAACATATATATATATATATATATATATATATATATATATATATATATATATATATATATATATATATATATATATATATATATATATATATATATATATATATATATATATATATATATTATAATTTAAAGTCAAATCAGTTTTGCCAACTGCCAACCGAAACTGACCAAAACATAGTCCGGAGTCAAACTTGGAAAATGAAATACGGATTGACTATTTTATTTCTTTCTAAGTAATAAATCATTTAATAAAACATTAATATTTTCATTCCACTTTTAAATCAAAAAATTGTCTCTACCGGTACACAAATTATTTTTGTTGGTAGTTTAATTTTTTAAAACTTTTCAATTACTATATTTTTCTTAGCATGTTTATAAAGATAGTCTGAAATTATTCTAAGTACTTTGTAGAAACAAGGAATTAATAAAAGTAACTTGCTGACTACACCTTCCCATTTTTCCCATAAGAGTTAAACATTAAACATATCGCTCTATCGCTCCAGTCAAACTATTCATTTCGTTTTTAAATACCATGCCGGACATAAGACACGAAAACTTTGGCAACACAGCAGAAAGGCCACTGACAACATGACGTTGAATACATACAAGGATGCCAGTTCAAACGCAAAGAGGGATGACGTCAACTAGTACCTTTAAAGAGGCCAATATCTTGCCGCATTCCCGTCATCCCTCGCCAAACCTCTCCATCCAAGGCAACCTCTTTCTGTAGAAATACGGCGACAAATCTGAAACTTTTTCGGTTTTCGTTTTTATTTTTTTATGTCTTTATTAGTAGGAAAAATCTATGAACACATACTTATTGGAACTCTTTCGACTTCATAGCCAGGTAGAAAGTCCCTTAGTTGTTTCGTTTTTCTCAAACCATCATCAACTTTATTTTTACTTATGGCCGCCTTATTCGAATTTTGCAGTATTGAATAGCCCGTATTATAACCTTTTTATTGATGTATCACAAGTTGTATTTGTGTTCCCTCAAATTCGAAATATTGAACAAAAACTTTTATACCCTAGCAAGCTATGCATTTTGATATCGAGTGCATTACTGTGACGTTAAAAATAGACTTTGCCAATGAACAAAAACGGGATATGGTAAAAGACATCGGAAATATATTTGAACATGTATCCTGAAAGACGACGACCTCATCTAACTTTGTTTAAATTAATGGATAGAAAGCTGGCTGAATTTGCTTGCAAAGATAATAGATAAATTACAAACTGTTGTCTGTGATGCGGCAAGCACAGTTCTACCCTTCTCTGCGTGTTATGCACTGCACGATTTATTTCCCGTCTGCATAACCTCCAAAATTCTCTAATGAAGATTATTTGGAGCTCTTTGATATTTTGGTATTCACTATTACAATACATTCAATGTTGCTACTATATAGCGCACTATATAGCTCAATTATGCTTAAAATTAAAATTAGTCTACTGATTTATTGTCTATCAGCTTCAAGCAATCAGTGTCGCTAAGAGTTATTCTTTAAATGGTGTTACAACTGTAATAAGTTTATTCCCTATAAGAGTTTAATTGACAAAAGGGGTTTCACGTTTACATTTTACGGTTACTTACTAATAAAATAAAACTATTTAATGTGTGCTATTAAATAGTTTTATTTTATTAGTAAGGTTTTGCCCCCCACCCTCTTTCCATGTTTTTGTTCATATCCTTCCTTAGTGCAGTTTAGACGCTGTCTGTTATTGTTTGGTTTTTACTTTAAAACTAAGTTTTATATAAATTTAGCAGTTTTATGTAATATATAAATAAGTACCACACGTAGGTTTTTAATTTAATATTTATTTCATCAAAAAACAATAAATAAAAATAAATGAGGTTCTGTAGATGGACATGAAGATCCAGATAAAGCGTATGAAGATGAAGATGTACTACCAGAAAGAAAACTCGATTGAGGAATTGGTCTTTTTGCAGATAGGACGTTCGAATAAACAATCTAATCTCTATTTTTTTTTTCGAGAATCCTCGTGTAGATGTCATGCAGAAATAACAATCATTCTCATGATTTTGAGGCTCGCTCCAAATCATTGGCATTGAAAACGGCATGGATTTGTGACTTTCTTCAAGCCAACCTCTCAACGTTCTTGAGCAGCTGTTGCAGCATACTTTTGGCAACCAACTTTCATCTCGCTCATCGATAGAAAATCCAAAGTATAACTTATAAGCTGTTTTAACCAGATCGGTCATGACATGTCGCTGTGTTTTTAGTATGTATTCCCCACAAATATAGCAAAAACAATCTGAGGAATTTTTACAAGTCCGTGGCATTTTGTAACCTAAAATCACATAAAATTAATTTTAAAACAACTTTCAAACTTCTATTTTACATTTATTGACTCTACTTAAAAAAAAACTCAAACAACACATCAAATACTAAAATCCAATGTAGAGAACATGAACTTTATGCAAAACTTACCAAAATATTTGATATAAAAGGTAAACAATTAAACAAGTTTTCACTGAACTGTTGTAGTGTCACAATGAATACTTGGCATGCGCGTATTTACTACCATAAAAATCACCTTCGGCACTTCCCTCCTTTCTCTTACAACTTTCTGAAACTCATTTTGTATGTACATTTATTTTTTGTAACGTTGACGAATGAAAAAATTGAAAAAAAAAAACAAAATTTTGAAATATAAAAAAAAATTATATCGAAAAATCTAGACGTGATAGAAAAAATCGGACAACGGGGATAGATTCAAAACGTTTGAATCATTATATTTATCATAAATTTTTTTAAAGGATTTCATTGCCAACCAGTGCTACTCTGAGGTACCAACCTAACAGAGTGCATTTTAAACTCACGTCCTCACAAGACTTAAGTCACAAATTCCGCGCCTTCTACGCATTAAATATTTGACTTGGTGCTTTCAGAATGGTTATGGATACTAACTGCAACAGCATATAGCCAAGGGTGACGCTTTGTATCACAAAATAGGGCGAACTCTTTGGTTACTGTATTTTCAGTTCAATTTAAATAAAACCTTACAATTAAGAAGACATGGAAATAGTTATTAAAAAGTTAAACGTACTGACGTTGCCCTTCACGCTTGAGTGCTTTTATTTCTCGTCCTTCAGGTTTAAGCTTAAGAAACTCGTCCAACTAACTTCAGAACAAGGTGAGGCAATTTCACGTTTCCAACGATAACGATGAATTTGAGGTTAGGAGATTGAGTTTTTTTTGTGAATCTGACACATTTGAAAAATGTCTACTAATGTTCGCGTTTCCAAAGTCATGTTTTAGTCAACTTGTATGTGTTATTCGTTATTAACTAATTTGAAATTATTGCAAATGCGATTCTTGGGCATTCGCCGATATCGCGAAGAAACTGACGGATCAACTCTTAGGCGAGATGTGTCTGCAAATCGTCCACGATTGCCACCTGTTGCTTACTTTTTACTTGTTACTTCTTAACGCAATTTTTTGTTATTTTTAGCATAATAATACTTGCCTAGAGAATTTTATCCTTTTTTCCTTCATAGGGTTGATTTACACTGCAGTTAATCCTGTCACTCTATCTGTTAACTCTGTAATGTATTTATAAATGATTGGGTAAATATTGAAAAAAAAAAACTGGCAATTCGAAATTTTATTTGGCCGCTCTACAAAACTATATCACTCCTCGTCACTGGACTGGGAAACGTAAGCGAGCTGGTCCGTCCACCAGTCCCGAATCTCCTGCATCGCGTTGGACGTCTTCGGCAGCGAGGACTTGCTGATCTGAACCTCTTTGGGCGGTTTGCATGGTTCGTTCTCGATCAAATGCGGATGCGTCACGTTTTTATTCACCGGCGTGTTCTGGCGGCTGTTCTTCTTCTTAGTGGTCGTCACCCTCTCCTTTTCTTGCCTCGCCGAAGGGTCCGACAACGTGGGAGCCAGATATTTCCTGCCTGAATCATTCATCCCGTTGATATGCGCGTCCGCATCTTCAGTAGTCCGTATTTTTTATTAGAGGAAAAGGTGGTAATTAAGTTTTTTAAAAAAGTGTGACAAACCTCAAAGATACATTATAGGATTTCTTATTTATATGCTGATGATATATATTATAATTGTATATATATTGACCAAACCAAAACCAAAACATAGTCCGGAGTCAAACTTGGAAAATGAAATACGGATTGATTATTTTATTTCTTTCTAAGTAATTCCTATTTCGAAATCATTTAATAAAAAATTAATATTTTCATGCCACTTTAAAATCAAAAAATTGTCTTTGGTTTACCGTTACACAACTTATTTTTGTTGGTAGTTTAATTTTTTTAAACTTTTCAATTACTATATTTTTCTACTACACTTAGCATGTTTATAAAGACAGTCTGAAATTATTCTAAGTACTTTATAGAAACAACGAATTAATAAAAGTAACTTGCTAACTACACCTTCCCATTTTTCCTATAAGAGTTAAACATTAAACATGTCACTCTATCGCTGCAGTCAAACTACTGAAACCCTGAATTTTTTCCCCCAGAAGACCAAACTACTGATGCATAAACCAACTTAGACCTGACGTATGAGTTATATAACATTTTTATCACTTTTCTGCATCTTTTAAAGTCTCTGGTGCAACGTACGATAAATCCATAGCTTTTTCAAGCTCCCGCTGGTACCTTTTTTAACATGATGAACAAAGGATAATTTCAAGTTGAATATTACTCACGGTGGTAAAAGAGACTCCATTACACTTGGCTGTATTAAGTTGCAAGTTATTATTTGAGGACCAAATGTTGATTATATATTTATCTATACATGTCTGACTATGAAATAAATGAAACGCGTACAAGATAGCAAAAATATTATTTATTCTTAAGTTATTCCAATTTGGTATCTTGAGATGAAGTGATGGTTATGTAACGGCAAAAATCACAAATATAATAGTCACTTTCAGAACTTGCGAATTTCCTCACTATAGTGACTTTTTAGGCCACCCATGAAAGTCTTGTCCAGAGGCTGGAGCTTGTGCGTTGTATGAGACGAGAGGCTGATAATCGTGACATGATTTTCGAGGGCTAGATCTATTATTTTTATGTTGCGTGTGTGACTGTAATGGCCGTCAAAGATGAGTAATATAGGAGATTCGACCCTGGGGTTTGTTTTATCAATGAAATGCTTAAACCATTCAGTGAACGAATTGGATTGTATCCAACCAGATGAATGAACTTTGCCAATCGAATCGGATGGCGCTCGCTTCATCAAACTGTCCGTAAAGTTTTTCCTGGGGAAAAAATATACCCGATGGGTACATGCAGCAAACAAGAGTACATAGTGACCCTCGTTCTGCAGCAATTAAGGCACCTATCTGCTTTTAGCTAGATTAGATTAGATTAGATTAACAGCTGGGAGAGCTAGCAATCAGGCTGTCCATCACTGCGACCCAGAGGATCTATTGTGACCCTCTCCATAGCTATAGAGCTTTATCCAGGTTCGTCTCTCTAACCAGACTCCACAACTTCGACAATGGCTCCCTCGTATAGCTCTCTGCCTCTGGTTTGGTATCGCCCAGCAGATGGAAACGCAGTCTCGCTAGGCCTTCGCAGTGGCACAGTACGTGTGCGGCTGTTTCCTCCTCTTCCTGACAGAATCTACATTCCGTGTTTCCTTCCACTTCCATCAGGCTTAGATGCTTCTTAAGCCTGCAGTGGCCTGTCAGCAGACCTACCATTATTCCTACGGCTTTCCTATTGTAGCTTAGTAGGTCTGCTGTAAAACTGACCGATGGGCCCCTTAGGAATTCCTCCACCATCGTCGGGATTCTCGGTCCAACCAATAGCCGATAGCTGTTTTTGCAACGGGTTTGGCCACCCCACAAAAGGGTTCTGGTCCAATCAGCCGCATTGACGACCCTTCGCAGGCTGCGTCGTCTGCACCTTCATTACCTTTATGCCCTCCGTGCCCCGGTACCCATGATAGAGTAACTTTGTTCTGGCTTGCCATCTCGTTTAATGCCTTATGGCAGTCCAGAACTAACTTGGATGTTATTTTATTAGATTGCAGGACCTATATATTTATAATTGATTTGTTACGGATCTTCCTGGCTTTTATTTCTCTTGCGCAGTGTTCTAGTGCAGTGATCTTTGCTTGGAAAACTGTTGCTAGGTTAGCCATTGGAATAGATTTTCCTTTTCGTCCTGGGTTCATATATTCCGGCTCCTACTCCTTCTTGAGTTTTTGAGCCATCAGGATACCAGGATATTTCTGCCTTGATTGGTGGCCCGTTTTCCCAGTCTTCTCTGGCTGGGATTTAAGTCCTGTAGTGGTTAACGAAGCAATACTTAGGTGTTGTGCTGTCCGTAGGCAGCCCTAGGACATTGTCCGCTCTTACCTCCAAGTAAAGCTTGTTATGTTTCGTGCTATCTCCACCAAATATTGAGGACTGGCCTTGCAGTAATCTATATACTGCGGATCTTGGTTCCCCTTGTATAAAGATCTGTATTGGTGGGATGTTCAGTAGGACCTCCAGCGCTGCAGTGGGCGTTGTGCTCATGGCCCCCGTAGCGCACAGACTCGCTAATCTTTGCACGCTACTCAGCCGTCTTATCGCCTCCCCTGCATGGTTCTTGTCCACCAGACAATCGCCCCATACGCTAGCATTGGTCTCACTACTGCTAGATACAACCAAAGTGTCATTTTTGGGTTTAATCCCCAGCTCTTTCCACACATCCTTCTGCATCTACCTAGTGCAATTGTTGCCCTAAGCGTGATCTTTTGAATGTGCGCTCTCCAGGTAAGTTTTTGGTCAAATATGTGTAGTACGTGCGTACGAGCATATGATGTTCCCTTTGGTCTGCGTAAAGATAAAGTATCTTTATGCCCATAGTACTTACACTCCATAAACAAGATATACTCCACTAACTTTTTTTCCAGCTCAGCTGGAAGTACAGGTTTCTTTCCTAGTGGTTTATGTACAAGCAACTCTAAAGATTGTCGAGGATCCTTTACTAACCGTTTCAGTGTAGATCTAGGCACAGAATACATTTTTATATCACATGACCTACTGCCTTACTGCATTAATTGCTGATTTCATTTGTTCAGGATCCCATTTTTTTTTCTTGCTCGAAAGAGGAGAGAGCACACTTGGTCTAGGCATTTGAGAGCAAAAAATAAAAATATGAAAATTATGAATCACTCTTACATGTATTGCGGCCCCGGGACCATAATACAACCAATATGAAGGGGCCAAATTACAACTATTGAGAATATTTAAGCAAACGTACCAAAAATAATTATTACAAACCTAATTTTGTATTTACCTTTTAATTTCTGTAGAAGAACAGTTCAACGTATCCAACGTCCGAATACAATAGCCAAATACATAATTACCGAATTAAAATCACAGTAGTTTAAAGTTTTACCGGTAACGAGTTTCAACTGTTTTGAATGACAATCGAACGTGACAGGCTCTGGTGTATTTGTAAGGTACTAAATAAACATACTAGATGGCGCTGTTCAAACATTAAAATATTGAAGGGGGCCAATATATCTGCAGGGGCCACATTACCACCTTTTCCTCTACATTATTAAATTAAAATCAACCGAATTTCTGAGTGTTTTCGAGATCTTGCAAATAATCCTTATTTATTTCGGACGCTGTGTATATGGTAGACTAAGTCGGTGTCACAGAATCCGCGCTACTTATCTACTTATTTACCCGAATTGCTGCCGATGCTGTCGGACCTGGGCAAGGCGACCTTCTGTTTCCTGGCAGGCTCGTTCTCTTTGGTCTCGTGCTCTTGTTCCTTCTGCGGCGAATCGTTCTTGTGTTCCTCTGCAGGATCCGCCACGGGCACCGCCTCGTTCGTGGCCCTCAGACCTGCTATAAGGCTGTTGTGTTGCTTCTAAAAATGAAAAGGCGGCGTGGAAAGAGAAAACGCGAAAAGTATACGAGCCCTAACAACTAAATGTTCGGACGATTGAAAAAATGATTTAAAACGACATTTTTATATCTATTTAAATTTTTTTTTTGCTTTGTCGATTTAATAATCAATTTACGCATATCACGATAGCACAGAACGTTCATTGATAGTACTGTAAATGCAGAAAAATACCAACAAATCATCAATAGAACGAACTTATGGAAATGAAAATTTTATATTTCAACAAGACCATAATATGAAAGTTTTATCGTGGCCGTCAAGTAGCCCCGACTTGAATATTATTGAAACTTTATGGCACCGGATGAAAAAGACTTTGCGTAACAATCCTCAACGTACAGTTCCAGCATTAAAGGCAAAAATCACCGAAATTTGGAACACTTAGCCGAAAAAATAATTCCCATGGAACCAGTAAAAGAAGAAACGAATACGTTCCAAATAATTGTTATTGTTTTTGGAATAATCATGGTTCTAATTTTAGTTTTCATCATTAAGGAGCTCTTATTCGAAAAATCGCTTACGCTGGTCGAACGAATCTTCTTCAGGCATCCTTCTAACCAGGTACGTATCGTCTGCTTCGCCACCTCCTCCTCTATGATGTACTCGAACTCTTCGCGAGCAAGCAGTTCTTCCAGCTGGAGGGCTTTCCTGATGTCGACGCTTCTGTACGACAACATACTGCGAAAAAAAAAAAAAAAAAAAAAAACGTATGGCGCCAGAGCGAAATGTTTGAGCGCCATTTACATACTTAATAACGTCATGAAACGTCACGTCTTCTCCGTTGTGAAGCCGCTCGAGCTCGTAGCACATGTGCTTGAATAGCAACCGATCCTTCTGCGGGTCAACCTCCAGTCTACCCTTTAACAACCTCAAGATGAACTTAACCTAAACAGAAGATTGAACTGAGGTGGCTTTTACTTGATGAAAATGCATTTATCAAAATAAATAAGAACTAAAAGTTCAGATTTTCGCGAAATTTGAAAGACGCTGAAATTGGTTTCTTGGCTATTTGGTATTTTAAATTACTTCTACGTTGCCGAATATGTTCCCAAAACATTTGGGTTTTTTAATAAATGTCTGCAAAATAAGGTTTTTCCCAAATACATAAAATTGAAAACCAACAACAGAAGTCCCGCCGCAAAGAAAGAAAATTTCGTGAAAATCTCAACTTTTAGTTCTTATTTATTTTGATAAATGGATTTTCATCAAGTAAAAGCCAAGTCAGTTCAATTTTTGAAAGAAGCTTAAATTAGTTTCTTGGCTATTTGGTATTTTAAATTACTTCTACGTGGCCGAATATGTTCCCAAAACATTTGGTTTTTTAACGAATGTCTGCAAAATAACGTTTTTCCCAAATAAATAAAATTGAAAACCAACAACAGAAGTCCTGCTGCAAAAAAAGAATTTCGTGAAAATCTGAACTTTTAGTTCTTATTTATTTTGACATGTTTTTTGCGCGAGGGCACGGTCCAAGTTTGCTACTCGCCCTTCGAACGGGAATGACGCCCCTTTGGTGGATATCCACGACGTTCCAGGTGTTCTGAAAGTTCCGAATGTCGGCGTAGGAGAGAAGGGCGTCCTCCTCGTTGGAGTAGAACAGCGAAAAGTTCTCCATGATGATGGCTGAGGGAAAACAAACCTATCCTTACGTCCGAACCACCTATCGAAGTCTCACCAACGAGTAAGTTCAGGACGATGTAGGTGATGATGACGTAGAAGGTGCAGAAGTACACCAACGAACCCATGAAGTTGCCGCAGTCGGTCTCCCAGTAGTTGGCGGCGGGGGTGCAGTAGGGAGGCTGGATCATGCAGTCGTGCATGATTTTATTCCAGTCCTCGCCGGTGACGATCCGGAACAACATGGCCACCCCCGTCACCGGCGACTGGAAGTTCGCCCTCCTCCCGATGCCTTCGCCGTACTTCACCGTGCCGAAGATGATCGTCCCGGCCAACGCGTAGAAGAACACCAACAGGAACATGCCGAAAATGATGAAGAAACTTTTGCACACCGATACCCCGACCGTCAGCATCAACATCTTCAGCGTGGTGTGCTTGCCGGTGATGGTGAAAAAACGCAGCACCACCACCATGAACCCGAAGAAGTAAGTGAGATCGTTCTGCAACGGCCACGTCCGTTTCGCCAGTCCTACGACGAACTCCGGTCTTACCTTGAACATTATGTGGAAGAACATCCATATGACGCCCATGACGGTGACGAAGAGGTCGTATCTATTCCGCCGGGATTGCAGGTAACCTCTGGGCGTGAACGCTATGTTCTTCATCACCACCTCGACGACAAAGATAAACGTGCATACCATCGAGACCGTAACGAGGGTGTCTGTGGTGGGGTCGTCTTTCTCCCACTGCAAAACTGCGAATGAGAATTCGCGGCGAGATGATCGCGACGCAGCTTACGGTGACGCTCAACAGGGCCGAGTTAATCAACACCAAAATGGCGATCGCCCTTTTGAACCTGATGTTCTGGGTGATGTCGTAGATGAAAGCGCGAAACTTTTTGCCGTCGGGCCTGGGCGGCAAGTGCAACGGCTGGGCGATCTTCAGGCGCTTCTTCAAGTCGCACCATCTTCTCTGATCTACCGTCAGCAGCGCCGTGCCCTTGTTCTCCGAGTAGTTCGCGATCACCACGCCCACGAACAACGTCAGCCCTATCATGCAACCCAGAAAGATGTAGATGTGAATGTACACCGCGTGCACCTGCAATCAACACCAGCGCCACCTCGCGGACGACCTGCTCGCGGTCGCTACTCACCGGGCCTAGCGATTTTATGAGTATATCTCGAACGTCCAGCCACCCTTTGAACGACAGCACTTCGAAGAGCGTGAGCATAGCGTCTCCAATATTGTCGAAATTGAATCTACGCGGGTTCGCCCTACCAAACGAAGCCTCACAGGGTGAACCGAGCACACCAGACGACTTACCAGACCCTCGGCACCAGCATCGCAGGGTAAGTCTCGTTCTCGCCGGGCTGGACTTTCATTTTGGTGACAAATACCCGCCTCAGGAATATACCGTGGCAATCTTCCCTCTTGGTGATGCTCGGGTCGTTGCACCTCGCCAATCGCCCGCCTGACAGTTAAGACTTTAATAATTTAAAACTAAGAGACTTATTTCTAGAGGCTGCGAGTCGTAACACCCTGCGTTCTGCAATTTTAATTGTGACGAATGAAGGACACGTCAAGTTAATTTTGGATAATTATCACCAAAACCATAAAAAAATATATTTCCTCCGCTGTACAGGGGTAAATTTCTAAAAGTAACTAACAATACATGCGAGTCGTGAACGCCCGGGTTATGAAATATTGGGCAAATAGTGGGATCTCGTTAATATCACTAACCGTATAGCTGGACTCCGTAACAAGCAAAGATAAAAATTAACAAGATGAGCAGGGTGGACACGAGCAAGATCTCCTTGAAGCCCCTGCAAAGTTCGGAAACGACTTTGCTCATGTGTGGGACCAACGTGAAGATCCTCAACGGTCGCAGACACCTGAGTATCATCAGAAGCTGCGCGCCCGAATTAGGGGGAACGCTTTTAGGCATCCAACACAAGAACGTCAGGGTGACCTGAAAGTAACTAAAGAATTTAGCACGTCAATCGTCGCCGCTACACGAACCAGGTAGATGAACACGTCCAACAAGGCGGCGACGTCTTTGACATACGCTTTGGGGGTAAAAAACAGCCCGTCGGCTAAAATTTTCAAAGCCAGTTCGATGCTCATGAAAATCACGAACCCGTATTCGGCGATTTGGAGGCTGACGTTCTCCATGACACGATAGTGCGGCGTCTCGAACATCATCGACACGCACGACAACGTCGTCATGGTGATCATCACCCAGTCCAAGTACGTAACCAAACCAAGAAAATTGCTGCAAGATCGGCAATTGGTATTTTTTTTTCGACAACACCGATTCTGTCTTACTGCATGGTTTTGTACTGCACTTTCCTCTCCTTCCCCGTCAATGGGTCTTTCAGCCTCGCGTCATACCTGGCGTAAACTATAAGTTGGCAGAATTTCCGAAACCTGCTCTCCCTCGGTACAGCGAACAAAGGGGTGTCGAAAAAGGGATGGTTCTCCCGCAAATCTTCCTCCCGCTGATTCCTTCTCATCTCGGCCTGTTGCCTCTTGGCCTGCAAGAGCTTGATGTCGAGGTCATGAGGTCTCGCCCTGTTCGACGTCACTCTGTTGACCCCGATGTCTCCATTCTCCATCAGATGCTCGTAGGTCTGTTTCAGCTTGATCGAACCCGACCTCACCGACCTTCTGATCGACCTAGACCCGAACCTGCAACATTATCAGCCCTGAGCGACTGGAAGCCCTCTCTTGCTCGCTCAACGCTCTACTCTAACGCCAAATTTAGCATGCCGATTAATTTGTATCAATTTGGTTCGCCAATTTGTCTCCACTCACTTCTTGTGGTCAATACGTAACTGTTTGACACTGTTTACTGTGCCTTGTTGCTTCAATGGCCCTTTGCTCCCCGGCACTGGGATTATCGAAGAGTCGCCCAACATCAACCGTTGGTTATTAGAATCGCTGCAATCGTTCAAATAGGGGTAAACCCAACACCACCCCTAACTCCCAACCTTATTATGTGAGACACCGTCGTCTTCTTCAGTTTGATGTCGACGCTCCTCACTTTGGGCAACCTGTTCAAGATGGGGATCGGCTTCTGCTTCCTGTACACTATCTTCGAGTCGAACATTTCCTCGGCAGTGAGACGTTTGGTTCCCGTTTCGGAATTTTCATCGTCCTCAGTCTCGTAGACGAATTGGCGCATGAAACTCTCCCTAACCTAGTAATCTAAAGTTAAGCATCTCACACGGAAACGTTTCTGGTGGCGAAATCTTCATCCTCCTTCGAAGCGGGGGTAAACTGACCTTCGGAAGGTTGAAATCCGACGGCACTTTGTGCAAGGTGACCATCAAAGGGCTGTCTGGGAACTTTTCGAAGATGCGAAGTCGAAAAGGGAGAGTCTCTTTAATTTCGGCGCTCTGCTCCCTGTACTTGAGCTGCTTCAGCTTCTTGATGTCCTCGTCAAGCTCCAGGTTGTCCAAGATGACGGCGACGAACAAGCTTATTACGATCTGAAGGACGGCGCGGCTTCAGAAGGCGTCAACGTTCGTCGCCTCACTCACCAAAGTGACGAACAGATGGTACATGATGAAATAAAACGCCACCAGAGGAGCGATCATCGAAGGCGTGCGCAGCATCGTCTCGTCCATAACCTCGACCCAGGCCTCCTGTGTCAAGATTTGAAACATGGACATGAACGCTTCCGAGAATGTTTCGAACTTGGTGAAGTCTAAGAAGCAGAATAGCTGCATCGAGACGCTCGACGAAATTATCAACAAGCACATAGTGAAGATGATGAGGCTGCCCAGCTTCTTGCCCGGGCCGAAGATTTTGTAAACGAAGTCTTCCAGGAGGGGGGAGGCTTTAATCAATCGCACCACGCGCAATACTTGGAAGAACGTAAAGCCCGTCATGTAGCAACCTGGAAAGGATTAGAAACAGGGTACCGGAAAAGCGGACCGAACCCGGTACCTGGAATAACGTGGATGGTGGTGCCGATGGCGCAAAGCAGCTCGAACTTGTGGATCGAATGTTTCCAGTAACCTCTCAGTCCGAGGCACCATATTTTGAACAGCGCCTCCAGGTTTAACAGAACCGTGAACCCCAATTCTATGTAGTAGTACTTTTCGTAGAACACTTGCCTTGGTCTCGCGTCGTGCTTGAAACGCATGGACGCCGTGACGATCGCGTTTGCCAGTATGACGCCCATAACGAGGGTGCGGAAATAGGGGCTTTGCAATACTTTTTGGCAAAAGTCGGGGGCAACACCGCCATGTTTGTTGTCGTCGAGGGTGACCAGTTTCCAGCCGCGGTCATCGCCGATTAGGATCTGCGAACGGTTGGGTCGCGAAAGGAAACAACAATGGAGCAACTCGGATTAAACCTGCGAGGCGGGACTGTTGCTGATATGCCCCCGAGGTCCCCACATCTGCTGAAACTGCACCCGTATCTCGTTGAAAGTCTCGGTGATCACCGCTATGAAAACGTTCTTCACCAGCCAAGCGAGGAAGAAGATGAGAGTGCTAAAGTAAGAAACCGCCATCCACTGCGGCAGAGAATCGATCGCCCTGTACATTATGAACACCCAGCCCTCTTGCGAGGCGGCTTGGTAAACGGTGAAGAAGCTCGTCACTGCAAAGGGGCGTCGTCGGCGACCTCTGCAGGGAATGGAGGGGACAGACCTTACCGAACTCGTCGAAACCGTTGAACCCGATGATGTACCTAGAGACCTCGTCCATTTTCATGCACTTCATCCCCTCGGGACACTGGTAGCCCGAAGAAGGGTCCAGCGAGCAGAAGGTGTCCGGTATCGCGAGGCTGTTGATGGTGACGTCCCTAGAAAGCGACTCACGCTTGAGGAATACATCCGCTCAACGACAATGACTTACATGGGACTCTTGGTGTTGTTGGTTACGCAGTGGTTTTTCAATTCGCCAAAGAACTGCACCCCGAGCAGGCCATAGAGGGACATGAAGAAGAGGAAGAAGAGGGTTACGTTGTAGATTTGCTGACTCGAGCGTCTGAAACGCATCGAACGCATCAAGCGGTAGTGGCGTTAATACCTCGAGGGTCTCACTTGAAAATCTGATTGATACGGGATTTGGGCATGGAAAATTTCAAAAACACACGCAGAAAACGAATCATGATTAAGGGCCTGGGCGCGCGCAAGATCGACAGATACGAGTACGTCGGCACTATGGCCAATATTTCGAAAATTTGCAGTATCACCGAGATCCACAGGAAAAACACCATGCTAGCGTCGAACTGACACCAGTGGTCTTTCAGGTAGGGCTTCTCGCCCTGAAACAAGAAATGAGCTCGTTTTTTTTACAGTCAATCGCAGAGGTCACCTTTAAGATGCCCCGGATGTGCATCTTCGCGATCATTTCAGACGTAAAGAGCACGGTGACGGTCGCGTCCACACTGAAGGTGATCATTTGCATGTGGGGGAAACGTTCGAAACTTCTCGGCGTGTTGCAGCACACCGATGACAAGCTGAGGAGAGCGCAGGTCCGCATTAAGCGCCTGACCCATCTCTGAAATGCGGTGAAAGCTTAAACAGTCGCCTCAATACGCGTGATCAAAAAGGTATATGGAACGCTACCTTTTTTAAATTTTTGTGTGCTCGTATATACAAGACGTCAAGAGAAAACCTTGGTAATAAATAGTTATTTATTAACTAATATTTATATTCATATGCAGTATCAAAATTATCATGGGCCTCCGGGTATCTGAGATACATGGCAAAGTCCAAAACTATTAGTTATGAAGCAAGCATATATTTATTTTAAATGGTACACCCTGTATATCCATTTTTCCAAACATAATAATTATTTAAAAGTATAAAATAACATTATACATAAACAAAATTATACTTATAACTAACCAAAACCCGCTAATTTTTCTTAGTTTTTTTGATGGCATTTAAAAGAATTATTGGTGTCCTTCGTAGAGTTTCGAAAAACCAATTAACCCTCGAAATTCTGTTACAGAGTAGTATCTGTCTATTTTTGAGGGAAGTTGCAATCTAAAATGATCTTAAAATTCCAGAGTTGTGGCTTGGGGCACCATCTTGATGAAGGAATATACTAAGAAGATATCTTCGATTGAACTGAAGTGGCTTTTACTTGATGAAAATCCATTTAACCAAATAAATAAAAACAGATTTTTGTTGCATCAGGGTTGTTCGGTGGTCTGTGGTGTTCTTATTCTATGGTCTAGAGAGGTTAGAATGTGGGACTCTCGGCCTGGCATCTCGCGCGCTTATGACGCAGATTAAATAAAGGACTTGTAGTGGAGTTCTCTTTTATTACAAAAAGCCTCCAATACGACAATTTTCACGAAATTACAACACCGCGTCTTTATCAAATGTAATATTTATACACTACCTGCTACTATATATACCGAAAAATGACAATAAAACCTAAATTAATATTGAGAATTTAAGTTCAATAAAGGACAGGTATTTAAATCTAATTGATCGTTAAGCAATACGTTTGAATGTCTCATTTTCTAATCTCCATGGCTTCCAATAAATTTAATTTTGTACTTTCTGTGGCTGTATGTAAAATATCAAAATTGTCGTCTTTCAAATAATTTTTGGGATGAATGGAGGATTCGTGCTTAACTAGATTCATTTTCAGACGAGCAAATATATTTGGAAACCGTTGATGTCTCTCTGGATATCTAATATAAAAATTATATTGACTAATATCACTTTATTAAAAACCTTACCCATGGTAATGTAGTTCCGAAGCTTCTTAGGCATATTCAGTGTATTGTATAAAACATACCAGAATTTTGCATGTACTGCGATTATTATAGAAAATTAATTAAAATGAAATAAACACTGAAAGAACAAAAATGTATACTGACAGTCTCGTTGGTTTTGGTTTTTAATTATAACATTATAATAACAACATAATATTTATCATATCAATAAGACAATTATTATTTAAAAAATATGTATTTTCATCCTGTTTTTTCGAAATTAAGTATAGAGTCTCTTGTAATAACTGCTTAATTGTATCTTATTTTTAGTCGATTTAGTTGATTCGCTATACCCTACTGCTATAAATAAAGTAAAAAATGAAAAAAAAACTTAGATACGGGGGTGGTCCCAAAATCGCCACTCTCTATCTTCAAAAATAACTGAGATAGCTCGTAAAAGTATCTAAAAGTATCTTTTTATCTATGGAAATTAAGGCTTACCTTGTTGACCCATTCGATGTCGGCGCTTTCGTTTAGGGCTTCGTCGGGCCCGTAATCGGCCAACACGGGCTCGCCTTTGAGGCTCTGTTTACGGCCCAACATCATTTTAAGCCGCTGCGCGATTATTTTAGTACGAATTTTAACTTGCAACGAGATTCTGACCACTGGCGAACGCCCGCGAAGAATGATGTACTCACGTTATTTTTGACGAAATTTAAAATGAAAAACCGGCGCCATTTCCTGCGGACGGCTAATTTTCATCTCGGAAGGACGTCGGCGGCTGCTGCTGGGTGAGGAAATCGATATGCTCGGAAACGGGTTGAGAGAAAAGTGCACAGTTGGTTGCCTGTACTTCGTGTCGGAATTATATTTTTGTTTGAACTTGATTTAAAACACTAATTAACGCACAAGTTTAGATGCCGTTATTTCATGGCTCTAATAAAGTGAACAAAACAACTTGCTGCTATAAGAGTTTGCCCTTCCGCACTTTCATTTTTTGCCAAAACACCCGGAACTTTGAAACGTCGCGACTATTCGAACTCGTACTTCGGATAAGGATAAAAAATATCGAACAGGTATCGAAAATTTCCACTGCTGAAATGTTTTTTCATACCGGCCTTCGGGTGGGTGAATTTTTTCAAATTTTATTATAAAACGCTGTAGAAAAATTACGTCTCGAACTGCGCCATCTCATTTTCCGAATTGGATAGATAACCTCAAACACCGCACATGTATTCGTTTCGCGCTCGGTCTTGCCGTTCGAATTCATATTCGCTGTCTTCTATCAGGAGAGTAGTGACGCGAGGAGGTATCGAAGATTATCAGGAGCAAGAGAAGGTTACAACACTAGTTCACCTACCTTCCAAGAGATGGTGCGGAAGTGTGAACATTTTTAATTTTTTGCGCCTTTGTATTGCACTAGAAATTCATTTTTCAGTAGGCCAAAAATAATACAAACGTAAAGAGGGGTAGAAGTGTCTAAAATTCATTTGAGGCAAGATGTAGCGCGAAATACACTTGATCTTGTGGTGCCAGCTGTCCGACAGTGGTAAAACTAGTCATTAAAACTTTTTTACTTTTGTGAGAGGTGGCGCTGCCGTTCCAAATAAATTTTTTTCTGTCATCTATCAAGAACTATGTTGGCATTCTGCGATTTATGGTTAACGTGGAAAAAGTATAACCGTATTTATTTAAAGTCAATGTTCCACGAAAACTGAGCTATAAAAGGAATAAGACACGATTATACGAAACATTTTATTAACAAACTCTTAATACAGAAACTAACATTTTTGGTGAAGCAAATTAAATAAGGGAAAGTGAAGGGGGCAAATCAGGTAATCTTCAAATTCTTGGGCGGCACGTAGTCGGGGTCGTCATCGTCGGCAGCGAAATCTTCCGTCTTCTCCTCGTACGACGTGACGCCCTTGACCTCCGAGAATGTGTAGTTCGGTTTGGGCACAGCGGTGGCTACGAGCTCGTTTTCTATGTCCTGTTGGGGCGCGTGGATGGGAATTCGAATGGGGTTCAGCTGCACACTGTCCCCTTGCGCCTTCTTCGACAAGATAATCTTGGTAAACTTGGTTGGTAGTTGGCTGACCTGTGGCGTGGGCCTTTTCACTCCAGGAGAATTCACTACATAGTTGGTCATCGCTGAGGATGGCTTGTTGACGATCACAAACTTGCTGGTCGGTGTGGCCAAGGTACTTTTGCGAGGCTTTAAAAATGAACAATTTTTTATTAACGCTGAAAAAAAAATCTCAAAAAATGAAGAGACACTGCCTTAAAAATTTCAAGAGTTATTTGGTAGACAACAAATGGTACAAATGCACAATACCGTTGAGTGAGTATTATAAAAATTACAATTCTACAGGGGACAGTTTTAGGTATTAGGATGGTTAAATGTTTCCTGAAGGTAGGCGACCAAAATAGAGATATTGAGAGGTATTGAGTTATAGAAAAGATTGATATACATAAACTATTATTAAATGTTCAGAAAATCCTATTGCTTTTACAAAAACAAATGCTAATAGGTTGTTTTTCGTAAGTCAAAGTGGATAATATTCTCAACAAAATTTATTAGTATCAAAAACTAAGTACATTACTACTACTATTATATAAATAAATTCGTATGTCCACATAGCTAACGAAGTGCAGAAATTGAAATATTTAGCAATACTGCTATTAGTGTAAACTTTTCTCTGCATCATGTGTTGGTGTTGCTGAACTGTCTATGTGACTTATAATGAAACAATTGGTAATACAAAAGAATGAATATTAATTTTGTAAAAAATCTATTCTCTAGGTTCGAACTTCCCATGTTATATTAAGACTAAAACATTTTTCAAAACTGACGAAACTACACATTTGTAGATCATTATGAGCGGAGTGGTTCAGTTTGGGTTGGTTGGATTTTTAAATGTATTTTGAGTTTTTTAAGTCAGCTGCATCATGGATCATTGCAAACTCTTACTTGGTCCTACGCTGATTTTTTGCAAATTTTGAGATACTCCTGCCTATAGGGATGTTATCACATCCAGGAGCCTCTTATTTTATTTATTTCGAATGTAATTTATTGCGGTCGGACATCTTCAGATATGTTTACCTCAAAAGTTTATGATAAATTGGTTAAGGCTTTCGCGGCCCGTTGATAAGCTATTATCTTGAATTACTTCCTATAGGAAGTAATTCCAATCGACGACGGCCTTTACACCGAATCAAGATATAGCTCAAAAGTTTATATTAAAAAGATAGAGTTTTAAATTTTCAAGACTTCTTTAGCGTTCTTCTTCACAACCCTTGCAGTTTTGGACGTATTTATTATTTGGATTGTACATTGATGGATTCTTGGAATGTACAGGGACCTACTTTGCACGGCCGTGCCGATTTTCTACGTTTTGTCTAGACACTTTTTATTCACCTGCAAAACTAACCTGCAAAGAATCATCAAATTCTGACAGATTAAAAACAGGTTATAAATATTGTAATCAAAAATATGCTCTGTCAGTTTGATACAGTGAAAATCCTGAAAACGAACGGTTTTATGTTTTAGAACAAAAAATGTTCAGATTTTCACAGTTATTTATCAAATACCTATTGATATTTGATAAAGCCGGGATGTTACCGAAACAGCTGTCATAAATCATTAAATAACTGAATATCTGTTCTAATTTAATTGTGAATAATCGTTAATTTGATGAAATAAATATGAAGACCGAAGAACCGGGTCTCAGCAATTTGAAAAATTTTTGAAAAATCCAAGGTGAAAACGGAAAACGCACTTACCTGTTGCTGTACACTGCCCGTGGTGGACAAATCCTTGGGCAGAGTCGCGTCGAGAATCTGAGCATCGTCGGCGAATATGATGGGCAGATCCATAATGTCTTGCGAGGTGAGATTGGTCGGAGGCGGCAACGCCGTCTGCACGGTGGGGGCGGTGACCGGCACGTACGTATGCCGTTTGATGGTCGACGGCCTCTTTGCGCTGACGTACCTGCCTGCAACAAACCCAATCTACGAGCTCGTTCCGTGGACAAAAATAAATTTGGAAATTCGCAAATTTAAATAATTAAAGTGTATTTTCTATTAACATCAACAGAATCCCTCATGAGAATCGTGCTATACCAAAATGTTTATTTTAAAGGACGTACACATTATTGTTTGAACTCATTTAGACAGTTATATAATAAGTTCTTACGGACACAGCTTAAAAGTTTGCAAGATTATCCCCCCACCCCCCCCGGTGAAAACTTTTTATTTTTTTTATATCCGCGTAGCTTGTAGCTTGTCCGCTACTTTTTGCACTTTCTTTTTATTGTACCTTCTTTACAGGATGCCAAAATGTGCCAAATTAAAATTAACTATACACGGACTGTTTTTAAACCTTATTCGTCAACAGAATCTTTAACGTCGATTTTAATTTAAATCATCACGAATCAAAAATGTGCCACATTCGTTGATTGCTCGAGAAAAAAGTTAGTTTTTTAGTTTTACTGAACGCTTTCACAGTGAAGCAGAAATGTATTCAATGTTGAACTTTTCAACTTTGTGCATAACACTGGTCTGCAAAAAAAAAAAATTATCTCCTTCTAGTTTTCATGCATGAATTCATCTTATTTTATGCTCTAAACACGGAATCTGATATACAAATGTGGCGGCTTGAGTTTTACAGTAAAAAATCATAAATTATATTAACAAAACCAATAAATATCGTCAGTTTTTTCATTACGGAGTGATAGAATTCAAATTATTTAGTAGTTTTCTTCCTCTTCGTAGATTCCATTGGAGTTTCTCGGTGAATTGACCAACAGAAACCAGCAAGCATTGCTGCTGACCATTTTCCATTGTAGCGTTTTTCAATTTGCATTATATCCTGATGAAACCTTTCACCATGCTCATCTGATACAGCTCCAAGATTTTCAGGAAAGAAATCTAAATGCGAGTCTAAATAATGGATCTTGAGTGACATATTGCATCCTAAAGCTTTATAAGCAGAAAGCACTTTTTGCGTTCCCAAGAAAATTATGACACACCTTCACAAACGCTACCCAAGCTCTTTTTTCTGCTTTGCTCAACTTCGAATCAAAAACCTCATCCTTCATGAGCTCACGTATCTGCGGACCTACAAAAATTCCTTCCTGCAATTTCGCGTCACTGATTCGAGGAAATTTTGTTTTTAAGTATTGAAAACCCGCACCATCTTTATTTATAGCTTTCACAAAGTTTTTTATGACTCACTTTATGTGAAGGAGTGGCAGAAAAATTTTCTCGCGTGGCACTAACGGTTTATGAGAAACATTTTTGAGTCCAGGAGTCAAACTTTTCCTTGATGGTCAGGTTTTTACTTTGTAATGTTTGTCTCTTGCGCGGCTATCCCACTCACAAAGAAAACAGCAAAATTTTGTGTATCCTCCTTGTAATCCAGTCAGTGTAGCGACAACTTTTAAATCAGCACAAATATTCCATAAGGTATTGAGAATATTTAATTTTCTCAAGTAATACCACAAGGTTTGCATAATTTTCTTTCATGCTTGTAGCGCATGTGCATTGGGGACAGATGGGTATTTATTACCATTATGAAGTAGAACGGCTTTCAAGTTTATTTTTGAAGCATCAATAAAAAGTCTCCATTCACTAGAATCTTCTGGAAAACTTGATTCTTGAAGAAGCCCTGCAGCATCATTACAATATACCAAATCATCTTCTTTGGAGAAGTAACTTGTTAAACTTTCTTGCCTGGTACGAAAATATGACACTCTGGTACTTTTAGCCAATAGAGTCTCTAACAAGATCATTTAAGTCGCCTTGTTTAAGTAAATGAGGTTCTGTAGATGGACATGAAGATCCAGATAAAGTGTATGAAGATGAAGATGTATTATCAGAAAGAAAACTCGATTGAGATTGTAGACCTGAAATATTTTTATTTTCAGCCTTCTCATTAACTGGTGGAACTGGAGGTGGAGTGTCTTTATCACGAGGAATTGGTCTCTTTGCAGATAGGACCTTTGGATAAACAATCTTATCTCTATTTTTTTTTTCGAGAAACCTCGTGTAGATGTCACGCAGAAATAACAATCATTCCCGTGATTTTGAGGCTCACTCCAAATCATTGGCATTGCAAAGCGGCATGGATTTGTGACTTTCTTCAAGCCAACCTCTCAACGTTCTTGAGCAGCTATTGCAGCATACTTGCACCAAATTCAGAGTAGCGCATTGTAGTGCGTAATTTTGTTTAAATATTAAATTGTTCTTAAAGTTTAATAATCTCAAGAATGGTTTAGAGCGTTTTTGAAAAATTCTCATTTAATTTTAGTTTTTATTTTAAGACGCTTGTTAAAAAAATTGAATAACTCGGAGAAACCAATAAAGAATAAAACATCACATGGATATGAAAAAGTACGCACCTTGATGTCGATTTTCCATTATGGAAAGTTAATTAAAAAAAAATAAAATTTTGTCCACGGTGTGACAGTGCGGTATGCGGCGCCGTCTTACGTTTCATTCCCGCGCCGATGGGCGGCAGCACGATCGGCGTGCCGGCTTTGCCCTTCTGCGACGCCTGCGGCACCCTGGCATGGATCGTTTTCATTTTGCCGTCGGGCAGCAACACGACGCTGCCGCCGGACGAGCTGGCCAGCGTCAGCTTAGTGATGTCTATCGGACGCCCGACCCCGCTACCCATCAGTTTCGCCGTCGCCTGGCTCGACAGCTGCACGTTTTCAAGCACTGCGGGAGGGAAACAAAAGAACGTTATGACATTGTATAACTAGTTGCGACAAAAATCCACCGGCATTAATGCCAGTGGCGTAGAAAATACGAACTTATGAAAAAAGCGCCCCACTGACTTTTTAACTAAATTTCATTTTAATTAAAATAAAAAAGTGACAAAAAAAATCGCTCGCGCACATTTTTAAGAAAAAAATATTGTCTTGACCCTGTCGTTGGCTATTTTTCAATGTATTTCTTTTTCACCAAGCCTTCTTCAATTATTTTCGTTTTTTTTTTATTTTTTCTCGCAAAATTGTTAGGCTGATAAAAAGTACCCAACACTTTAACATATTTTACAAAAAAAAAAAAACGGCCCTCGTCCATCTAACAATAGCCTGCATACAGGGAGTTTTAAAGTTGGATCGTTAAAAAAAAAAATTTTCTTCGTTTTCTCACTTTGGCGCTACGCTGCTCGGGATATTTGAAAGAATCCATATTGAAATCGTTATTTCGGGGGCTGTCAAGACGCGATGACGTCATTGATTATTACGGCGCACTGCATGGTTTCAGAAAAAACTTGGACCAGGAAAGATCCGGGGCTATAACCTTTACTTCGAACATTGTTTGAATCATATACAGGGTGTGTGTGACGAAAAACTGTTCTTTTTTTCATGTAAATCATCCACCCTGTATTTAATATGCGTCACTATCCATTACGAAAACTTTAATTACTTTTTTCTCGCCAACCGAACACCATTTTTTTTTTCACTTTAAATTAGATATAGGTCAGACTTACCCCTAATGGGAGACGCCTGTTTCGGGGGGATGGTTTTGATGCCGCCTTGTAGCAGAGTCGAGAGCTGACCGCCCGGCGCCACGTTCTTCGTCAAGCTGTAGGCCTGCAGTCGAGCTACAATCGCAATTGCATGGTTGCAGGGAAAAAAAAATTGACACAACGTTAATACACGAACACATTACATTACCCCACCACCGATCCCCCCACCCCAGAGCATGCAAAAAAAACGAGGCTCCGCCCCCGCTGACCTTGATCGACCTGCGCCATCTTGACGACCCTGCCCCCACCTACGCCGCCGGGCTTGAGCGTTTTCACCTTTTTGACGAGCGACGGCGGCGGCAGACCTTTGGGCGACGACACCTGCGAGGAGGAGGGAATTTCCGACGCCGGCGAGGTATCGGGAAGGTGGGGGCAGGCGTCGAGGAGCGGCGTCGGCGGCGGGGTGGCGGGAGGGGTGGGACGGGGCGCGTGGGTGCCGTTGGAGGTCGCGGCGGGGCTACCTTGCGCCATGTGGGCGGCCCATTTCGCTTCCAGCTTGGACTTGTTTTTGGATCCGCTCGGACGACCGACTGCAAGTATGGGAAATTAAAACCCGCCCCCGTGAGAACGAACCGCGGTAACACCTGGACGTGACACTTTCGGCGACGGCGGCTGGCTGTCTGCCGAGCTGGCGTTTGAATTGTATCTCTTTCTCTCGTTCCTCGTTTTCTTCGACGCCGCCTCTAAGGCGACGGTCGTAGGCGATTGCCTAATCTGAGGCGGGAACGGGGACAGTATTAAACCGCTTATGAACTCGCCCACTTCATCCTGCAACGGGAGGATGTAAGGCACTTGAAAGTTAAGAGCGCCGGTCTCCGAAACTGGGATCGGGATTTACGACCCGCCGCACAGTGCCACACACCATGGACAAAATTTCTTAAGAAAGGACTGTTTGAAATTGTAAACACTGAGGGACGGTCAATGATTATGTTTTAGAAAAGGAAAATCGACATCGTGATACGTTTGATGTTTTATTCTTTAGGAGAAAAATTTTCGCATCAGAAACTTGGACCTTATAAACGAGTGGTTTTGTGCGAATGTGGAAAGGGTGCCCTGTATCATCAACAAAAAAAAAAACAAAATAATGAAGATGATACATTCGAATGTTTAGAACAAAAAGTAAAATTTTTCTGCTTGACTGTTAAAACTAGATTTAGAAATTGCCTAAGAAATAGGTTATATTTTTTGAAGCGTTACGGCGACTGGCTCAGTTGTGAACGTTGATTTCCTGATGAACTTGTTATTGTATCAAGAACGCGCGTTGAAGATATGCCTAGACCAAATCGTGGCAGGCACCTTAAACCTTTCAATGAAGCGTCAAGTAAAATCAAAACACGACGAAAATGCTTTAGCATTAATTTTAGACTTTTTAAAAATCAAATTTCACCTTCCAAATTAGAAGTAATATAGAAAATATTAGAAAAAACTGTCCATAGTTTTATTACAACCTTTAAATATTTATTCAAGTCTTTTGTAAGTGGGGTTTCGATGGCAGTGGTGATCATAGTCTTTACAAACATTTCTCAAAGGGGATATAATGAGAAGGGATGAATATTTTTTGCTATTATTATATTATATTATTATATATTATAAAATGCTGGTAAATTATAAAATATTATCGGAACACACGCTTGAAGCTCGCCATAAAGAAATACTATTTAGAACACACTCGGAAGTCATCCCGCGTAAACACAAATACAGATCTGATAAGACACTTAGCTTCAACATCTGATCCTCTTATATCTTCCAAGACCAACACATATGTTAAGAAAAAAAGGGCTTTAGTTTCTAACCTTCCAGCAGACATTAAGAACCCAGAATCTTCAAATTCCCAAACTGATGATCATAAAATTAACCTAAGCTCCCCGGATTATGATGATTCCAGCTAAATTACAACTATTAAGATAGAAATATTAATTGTTATTTTAATATGTTGTTATTAATTTTTGTTTTGTTCTATCTATTCTAATCTATTTTGAACCTGCAAAAAATGGTTCCTTCCTTTATAAAGCGACACTGTGTAGAAATTTAAAAAAAGTTTCAAATTATTTTTTTAAGCCATAGGTCGAGTTTAAACACAATTTACTAGGTCGGTCACGTAGATTTGTGTAGTATGTAAAAAACACAAATTCATAGTTGACTTTTTTGGCAAAATTGTCATTTTTGTCTATGGCGTGGAGCACTGTACACCGTGCGTTCAAATCTGGGATTGGGATTTACGACCCGCCGTCTCGAACGCGTCCCCTCTTATTTTTGGTGGCCGCACTTACGACGATACATCTGTCTACTATGCTCTGCGTGATGCCCTCCTCTTTTTTCTTCTTCTTGTTGACGATGAGGTTGTTGTCGGCGGACCCGACCACGATCAGAGCCGTCTCGACGCGCATGCGCTCCCGCAAATCTTCAACGTCCTCCTGACTAAGGCGGAAAACAAACGCGAGGATGCAAAGGAAGTAAAAATTTGGTATATCACTATGTAAATATTTTTGTAATTAGAATGTATTGGTGTTTATACCACCTGGGTAGTTTATAAACTATCCAACACCAAAGTACAAACTACAAGAAAAGAAAACAAGTTAACCAGAATATTTGACTTGCTTACAAATTAGCCACAGTATATCGACAATAACTAACTAGTTGGTTAGTATGTAAAGAAAAACATGCAGTTTGATAAATTTACCTTCAAGATAGTAAAATATTTCTTGAAGACAAATAAAGCATGATATAGCTATCACTACTTGTACGCAAGTAAAAAAAAAAAAAAAAACGTGACGACCTCCATGTCACGTTCTCTGGTGGGCAGCTAAAATAAAATTCCCCCAAACACAAAATAATTTGTCCGGATCTTTTCTTTAATGTTACGTAAGATGATGAATTTCAGGGCTTTTGCTGTTTTGACCTCACTTTTCTAATATATAAATTAACTAAATTTTTAAATACTAACAACTTTGTTATTATATATTATCAGGAAAATTAACTTCGGATTTTATCCAGTTAGTGTGGAAATTACGTAGACCAGCCTAAAACACAGGTTCATTTGCACACTTTTCTTCAATACTCATAGCTAGTTCCGTAAATATATATATATATATATATATATATATATATATATATATATATATATATATATATATATATATATATATTATTTATAAACTAGGTAAATTAATACTTAATACATATTTCTACTGCAGATATGGAGGACCTGCTTATGCTGATAATAAAGAAACTTATGAAGCATCTACGAAAAAAATTTGAGAAGATTCATTCCATCAATAACCAATGTCCTTCCGGCATTCAACAACCAACATGCCCGCTCTGGGAAAACGAATTAATTGTATAGAAATCGCCGTTTAGAAAGAAAATGGCGCTACCATAATATCTAATAGCTAAATGCTTAACGGTGACATATACAATTGCCGAAAAAAAAGGGAACGACCGGACGACAGAAAGAAAACTGTAGACTATATAAAAAGTATAAAATACTCGTTGAACAGGAATTAGCTTGCGGTGAAAAACATTTAAATACCAACGGCCTAACGGTAGTTCGTTTGCAGTCATTGAGAGAGTGAATACTGGACTACTTTGTGGTTCTTCAGATGATAAAGTTTAACATGGCCAATAATGGTAGAAATAACTATTTTTTTAAATGAAATAATCAACCTGTTTTCAATTTCATGTCTTATTTTTGTTTTGTTGGCATTTTTTTCATTAAACTAACATTTAATAATGCTCAAAAATGTTGAAAAAATTTTAATTACTTACACAGATGTACTCGAGCACTGTCCGATGACAAACAGTACGGGACACTGGAGCTCGAGCAGATTGTCGTCGGGTTCGCCCCGCCTACCTTCCGCGGTGAACAGAGAGAAGCCGAGGCTTACCACACACAGGACATTCTCGACCTGGGCGACTTGGATCGCGAGCGCCGCCCCCGCCCCCACCCCCACCAGAATTATCTGTTTACCGATGTGGTTCTCCCGCGTTTCCTGCACTCTGCCCCTCGTCAGTGCAAACATCTGGTCCAAGCAGGTAGTCATGGTCAACCTGTGACCCGATGAACCTGAAATAACATTTTAAGAAGCTGGGCTGAAATCCAAAGCCCCGTCCTAACCGAAATTCGTAGGAACGGTGACAACGTGTCCCAAATGGGACAGCAAAGTCATCCATTTGTGGGTTCGTTTTGACATGACTGGCGACGATGGAACCAGTATGATAATCGGGTTCCCGGGCAGCTTTTTCGGTTTGTCCTGCATGAGGCTGGAGGTGACCGGGTCCCAGGGCTTTTTCAGCAGCGGGAAGAGGTTTTCATTACTCAGCGGTCCCATTCTGACGCTCGCATTCGCTCCGCACATCATTTTATCCACAAAGCTCGGAATTTTCGATTTCAACGTCTAGTAAAGGTGACAGTGAGAAAAAACAACATTGGGGCTACAATTTGCTTAACCTGCAAAATATCCAAATACAAGGCTAGAAAGGGCTGGTCTAGATTGTCAATCATCAATTGATGAAGCCACTGGAGAAGCTTAACGTCCAAAAGGACTGTAGTAAAAAGCCGCCTGACCCTTTGCACTGCTTTGTCAATGACTGTTCTCCTCAAAATTGGCTCGTTAGGTATACCAGTTTGAGCCATTTTGGCCAAATAATAACTGTTTAAGATATTCACAAAACCGTTGTAGAGCCTGTGCTGCGACGGTAGCCAATTGATCCTGAAAGTCCCATTCGCTCCCACCCACTTGAGGCTCAACTGTGGCTGATACTTACTTTGATATTTTATCCTCCCAATTTTCGTCGCTATCGCACCTGGTCAAATTGGCGTGTTTTTCACACTCTTCCATTAACCCTTTAGCCTTTTCCACATCATATACGGGTGTCAAAGTAGCGGTTACCGTCTCAATATCAATTTCTTCCTCACCATTGCTTGGCGAGCCTAGAGTACTGAATAGTGGCTTAGTACTGAGGTTTTTAAGCATAAACAATGTCTTTGCCGGCTTCAAGAATGTGGACTCCGGTTTCCAGTTCCACGGCCGCGCGTAACAATGATCGGTTGACACCGTCCAGTATTCTCTTTGGAAGGGACTTATCATTTGCACAGGGTATGTGTATTTGGCTGGTTCATTTTCGATCACCATTTTCGAAATTTCTTTCGAAACGCCTACGTTTTGAGTGGTTAACTACATTAACAATGAAAGTAAAATGAGTAGGGCAGCACTAAAATAGAAAATCTATGTACCTCTAAGGGCGAATTGGGCAACTCGTTATTTAACAATTCGTCAAAATTGTTAAACATTACGCCCTTGGTAATTTAAATATTTAGTTCCATTTTCATTTCTATTGCAAAGAAACTTCTACGAGTTACACGAAATTATCTATACCTCTACCTACCTATGACCAAATAAACAAACCACAGAAAAAGTTAAGGTTATAGCTAGTGGAGGGACCACAGAATACGAATATATTAGTCTAGCTGAGCCATATACCAAGATCATACGCCCAGTACTAGCGCAAAGCTCCGTTTGTTGCTTGTAGAAAAACCCTAAATTATTATCAAATCGAAATAACGTATAAAATAAAAAGCAAAGATTATGAAATCGGCATTGTTCAGCGAATTGCGGCGAATAATATAACTGCGTTTACTTTAATAGTTGCAATTCTGATTCTGTCGTGAGCATTGCAAATGGAGGTTTAACCTCCGCTCGCTCCCGACAAAATCCTTTGCAATCGCCCAGAAAACTTGATACCGGTTTCTATTGCGTGGATTTAGTTTCCTAAGTTTTTAAGTGTGTAATCGTTGTTGCACCTACTGTTTTTGTCTTCCACGCCGGTGAAGGCCTAATGGGTCCGTAGCGGCAGCGGGGGTGGCTGTTTTTTGTTATCGGTCAAAGTTCTTCTTGGCAAGCTGAGGGTGAGAACAACTGCTGATTATAGTTTGTTTTACGTATATGTAACCAAAAGAAAAAATAATCGACAAACGTTGGTAATAGGCGAATGGCCATAGTGATCTTGCCCAACTGTTTGTGAAAACGACGATGAACAAGTTCAAGTTAATTGGTTGGCTTTACAATAGTTTGGTGCACCACTCTATAAAATTAAATTTGAATTGAATGTATGGATGTAGTCAGTGGAATGGGCTTTATTCGTTTTTCGTACTCTCTCATCGAGTTAAATGGGTTACCGGAAGCATAGTAGTAGTATGTGCCAAAGGTGCCTAATGGGCACTTTTCTAACCTGAAAAAGCGTGCGTTGAAAAATAAAACTGGTGTTAAATAAAAAATATCTATTCCTAGTATCACAACTTTATTTTATGGGCGCAATTACTATATTCAATTTTAAGGTATCTCTGTTGGGACCGACCAAGTACGGCGTGTCGCTGGCATCTTTGAAAATAGCGGAGGTATTTAGCTCGTTAAACGGGATTAAATCGTCGATGTTTAACATTTTATCTTGCGGGGTAAAATAATGCACCCTCTCTTTGACTTCCATTAGATACTCCACGCCTCCTTGCAGGCCATAGATGAGCACAGAAACTTTGACTCTCATTTTTGATACAGGAGAATCGCGACACGTGAGCGAAAGTCGCACGGTAGGTAAAATTTCCTCTGGAACTTCGAGCGTACCTAAAAGTTCAATTCGAAACCAAGTTAAAAGAAATTAAATAATTACCTTACCCTGCCAAACGATTAACAGACATTTCTTAAAATAAACGCCTTTGGGGTACAAATCCACCTCCCATTCGCTGATCTTGTGCGACTCGTGCTCGGCTGCCGACAAGTGCGAGGAAAACACAAACGTGCTGGTGTGGTAACTCTGCAAACTCCAGAAATTTTCGATCATCAAAACAGCCGAGCAACTGTCCGAGGTGTAAAGTCTCGGAATGAATTGCAACTTGGTGTCCTTGCAACTGTAATATGCTTCCAACTGGTCGGTGTAACCGGAGTGGTATTTCATGCTTATAGCCATACGGTCGACGAAAAATTCTTTATTTTGCTTAATGATCGGCGACATCAATAACTCGGCCAATTCCCGGGGCGTCATCATCGGGAACCTTATGTGCTTCATGGTGCGTTCGACCAGTTCCTTGAAACTTTCGGCAGCCCCGTTCTTTTCGATTCTTATGCGTTGCAACTGGAGCCACCTGACCACGCAATTGAACAACATCATCTCGTTATGTACCACAATGTCGCTCTGTTGCAAAATTTTCACGAACATCTCTACGTCAAAGTTACTGAAGTCCGAGGTGTTCGCTACCGACTCGAAATTCCACTTGAAGTAGTTTTGGCACGTTTCGAAAACGCGACTGTGCCCGCAGACGCTACTGTATTGCAACCACGAAGACAGTTGGTTGTGGGAGGCGGCGTGAGGTACATGCCGGCACATGTATGTCAGGCATATACGCGACAGACTCTGGCAAAGTATATATAATAGTAGTCCGGGAGCCCTGGACCTTTTTTCCAAATGATAAGCAAAAAGACACCCAACCTTTTCCTCTACGAAAATTGTTGTCTCAGGTAGCTAACTATACACGCAGGTATAAAATCATGTCAATCTAGTTATCATACCAAAATGATCAGCAACAGTTTAGTTTTTAGCTAAATAGCTAATATATAGATATTGAAATATATAATTTGAAATTAAATTTGGCCTACAAACAAATAGGTTTGGTACAGGGTGACCACCCCCTCAAAGTTGAATTTATTATTTATTTATAAATAGTGATGAGCAACATGCTAAATCATGTCAAATTGATTATTATGTAAAAGTGATCAGCAACAGCTTATTTTTTAACTAAGTTTTGAGATAATCAGATAAATAATCTAAACCAACATATGTTCTGCAATTAAAATGGTAGGTTTTTTCATGCCTTCCCTGGAAAATTTCGATAATTGCCCCTAACTTACACGGGGTTACATGTACATACGTGTATATTCGAATATACGTGTATATGTATACATACACATACTTATATCAAATCGGCGGTATATATTCGCATCAACGCGCATGCGCGTAACATGGCAACGTCGTATCCAGCATAGGCATACAACATACTTTGTGCATTAAAAAGTTTTGTTTACTTAGCTTGTCAACACGTGTTAATTAATTTTATTTTATAACATTTAATTGTGTAAGTGATCTTGGACTGTTTTCTTTGTAATATACACCGTGATAAACCTAATTTTCGTGAAAAAAGAGAGACGATAAAATTCTGTAAATATTTCATGTTAACAACAAAACTAATCTAAGCCAATTTTATTGGGTGTACCACATTATTTATTATCGATTAAAGTCAACAGAAAAGAAAATTGATTTATTCAATCTCTCCTCTTTCAATTCACCCATATAATCACCCACTTATTTTTTCAAAAGTTTATCGATCTAACACTGTCATGAGTTAAAAACCAGTATAAAAAAAATCGCCCGTGAAAAAAAAAAGAAAAAAAAAGTTGATTTCTTAAATTATAAATAATAATGAAACAACTTAATTAAACTCGTTTGTGTAAAACCGCATCATAGATAATGGCTGTAGGAATATTTTAAGAACAAAAAGAAAGTTAATCGCTAACTAAATTTATAGGTTAGACAGTAATTTAGAGGTTAAACAGGAATAATGTTCGAGAGTCGAACTTGCAACCTATTTTTCGTCGGACTAGCGAAATGTACCTATTTTTATGTACGACATTAATTGATTTAGATGGAAAATGTCATAAAGTTTCATTTAATTTTGGTGTCCTACAGTTGCTGATGAATAACGTATTATCGTGAGGTCAACAACTTTAAAGTGTAGGACCGAAAAATCCTACCAGTTTATTTGTAGGACAATGTGATCATTTGTTTATAAAAATTATTAGCAAGCTACAGTAAAAAATTTAGCATATTGCCCATCACTTTTTATAAATAAATAATAGATAGAACTTTGAGGGGGTAGCGCCTATTTGTTTGTAAGCGAAATTTAATTTCAAATAATATATTTCAATATCTACAGATGTAGCTAAAAACTAAACTGTTGCTCATCATTTTGGTATGGTAACTAAATTGACATGATTTTATACCTGCGTGTATAGGTAGCTACCTGAAACAACAATTTTCGTAGAGGAAAAGTTTGGGCGTCTTGATGAATGAAACGATTTCCAAAGAATTAGCTTGTTGCTTATCATTTTGAAAAAAGGTCCAGGGCTCCCGGACCATAGATACAATCTTAGGCAAAGAATATTGATATAATCAAAATAACTATAAATAAATAATGTTAATTAACGCTTTTGCTCCGATCCGTTTTATGGTGAAATTTGAACCAAAACATACTGTCAACCAAACCAACGCTATCTATTTCGCTTGTGCAATGGAAGGTAAGTACTTTTTTCAACACAGTGGTTGCATACGTATTCGATTTCGCTGTATAACCTCTATGATTAGTCCGAAATATTTTTTCAGAAAACTTGAAACCATGACCAATGATGAACTTTGATTAAGGAAATACCATCTGCCCATCGATCGGAAGTAGACCCCGACTAGGAAACGATAGCGATGTTCCGATAGCATTAAAGTATCGATAGCTACTCATTGCGATTGTACTCAAATCTTTTTTCGATATTACTCAAATAAATACTCCTAAAGTATCCATACTTACTCATATCGATACTTTTAGCACTTTATTATTTTTTTAATTATTTAAAGGAACCTGACAATTAACTTTGAAGGACAGTAATTAAAACAAAATTAAGAAGGAAAAGAATAAAGGTTTGCGTCACGTTAAGCACGTACTTTAAACAAAAAACTCCATGATAACATTGGAATAATAAGCTGATGATTACAATAAATACAATTATTCGTAAGCAATCTCCTGTATGTTTGACAATTTATGTTGGTTGACAATGAAAAAAAATGAAGGGCGGACGTCTTTTTCGCGTTTGGCTCGGGCTCGATCGAGTGAAGTCGGACGAGTTCGGCTTGGCTGGCGCCAGACAACGCGTCACCATAGATCAGATAGAGATTACGTTTGTCTGATGCATTCGGTTTTTTTTTTAATGGTGAGGTTGATTCGATTTGATACCAAGTACTTTTGTTTCGAGTACCTACTCGTATTTACTAGTATCGGAATATCCCTAGGAAACGGCGATTTTCGTGATGTATTGCAACCAGACTGGCACCCATTGATTTAAGCTCTTATATTGATAGTGAAGATGAAATTCCTCTGTCAGATTTGAGAAAAATCTCGCCATTCAATATGGATAATGTTAGTTGGACTAAAACCAATAGCCAAATTTCACAAAATATTCTGGTCCCAAGAATATTTTCGCGGATGTCGAAACACAAATTGATATATTTCTCGAACTTATATCTCATATCAGAGAGCAAACAAATTTGTATGGCCTCCAAAAATTGAAGGATTTCTCCAAATTCAAGACAAGTGATGAAAAAATCAAGGGCCTCAAATAGTTGCCGACTATCAGAGTAAAAGTAAGTAACAATAAAATTCGGGATTTTCATATAACAAATATTATGCCAAAAAATGGATTTGAACGGCTTTTGACACACATTTACTTGAATAATAATGAAAAACAACCATAGAAAGGTGAAGATAATTATGAAAAACCATATAAAGTTCACCCTTTCCTTGACACCCTCCGGAAAACCTATTAAATCTACTATGATACAGAGGAACATCAGTCGGTAGATGAATCCATGATTAAATTCAAGGGTTATATTTATAATTTCCAGATATATACCGGTAAAGTCAATAAGATATAAGTGGAGAATATCACAAAGTATATTTTGATAATTTTTTTACTGCTCTTCCTTTGATGAATGATCTATATTGAATAAAAAAAATACTTCGCAAAGGTTTACCGAATGATTTGCTCTCTGATAAAGTTATGAAAAGAGATTATGATTGGAGAATGCATAGTAGAGGATTCCTTCTCATGAAATGGATGGGCAAGAAATGTATGTATTTTCTTTCTAATTTTCACAACCTAGATGAACTCCTTGCTATTGCTAAAATTGAAAGAACTTCGAATTTTTATCTCAAGAAGTCTTATAGGACTGCAGAAACGAGAAAAAAACGAGAATAGAAAAGCAAAAATGCTTCAAACCAAATACAAACGCGTCGTTCTGCCAGATGTACGTTTCGAAGGTGTACACTGTAAAAGTGGCAGTGTACAATATGTAAAGTAGGTCTATGTTTGAGTAACAAAAAAAATTGTTTTGTAAAATGCACCAAAAAATATTTTTTTATATTTACCTTATATTAGGATAAATTCGCAAAAATATTTAATTTTGGTAGTCAATGGGTTTAACCGCACTCCTGCCTTACCTAAATTCCTATATTTTCATCACAACAATTTTCCGAATGACTGACTGAAATAACAAACCTTGACTAAATATTTGTCGGCTAAGGCGAGTATCGGCATCACATTGGTGTGGGTTATGAGTATTTTCCCAGTATAAAAGTATTCCAGAAATGTATAAAATACATTTTCGCAGATGGGTAATTCTTGAAGCTCGACGTGGCTCTCGTGCCACTCGGTCCACTCGGGATTCATCAGCATAGCCTGAAAATTGGACAGTTTCCGGTATGCCTAAAGTAAGTTACAAGATGTACCTGAAAAACGTCACTAGAAGCGCACAATATAAATCTGTGAGCTCCGTACTGCTTGTTTCCGACTTTTAATTGGATATCGCACATATTTTGCTCCACAAACAAATCTTTCAGCACCTTAAGTATGTTTCCCGAGTTGTCAATCTTAAAATTTGAGAATTAACTACTGCACAATTAGAAATGTTAATTCGATCATACGGTAATTTGGCAAGACTCGTTGTATTCGTCGTCCGACGACGAAGAACATTTCCTGCGCGGTTTCGACGAAGAAGGCTCAAAGACTTCTTCGAAATACATGTTGCCGTGAGGGGGCACACACGACTATTTCATAGCACCAATGCGATGCGCGTAATGCCCACGAAGAATTGATTAGAGAACCAAAATTTAAATAACACTGTTATTATGAATACAAATAAAGGTTAAGGTTTATATTTATTTGCAGATTTGGCATAAGACCAACCGGGGCTCCATCTATTTACACTAAAATTGACAAACGAATTTTTAAGAGCCATCTATACAGCAGTAGTCAAAACATTTGGTCTCGTAATGGGTTCCACTCTATCGTCTTGGATGACGCCACATATTCCGAAATTTTAGTTTCCGATCAAACCAATTTCAAACATCGAATACCTATATAACAATTAAGAACGCGTGACAAACAATGGGAAAAGTTTTGCTACTTCGGTTACTCGGGTGTTGAAGTATGCATAATTTTTGAATAAAATCTGCTATTATTGTCGAAACTTTGCTTCGTGAGTCATTCCAAAAAAACCAACTTTTTTCCTGTGTGGTTTCCGCTATAAACAATACTCGTTAGAAGTTTATTTACATAAGTAAGCCTAAATTATTGGACAAGGGTATATTTTAAGCGTATGTTAGTAGACAAACAAGATTTTGAGAGACGTTTTGGTTTTTTCCACTCTAAACATTGCGGGCAAAAACAATACATAATATATTGGGTATCTTTAAAATAATCGTTAGGATTGTGACCGTTTTTTTCTCGGTCAAACTTTTTCGAACCTCAAATTAATGACTTTTAAGAATACATTGATAGACTGCCTAACGGATGCTCAACACAGTGGCTAATTTTCAAAATTTGTTCCATCTTGTTTCAACAAATTAAAAATTGCCTTGCCTCACAATCCCCTATATTTTATTCGACCTTTAAACTTCCCAAGAGATTTTACCTATTTTTGGGCTGGAACCCAATGCCGAAAAGTTGATGGTAAATAATTTTTTGCACTGTTAAAAATACCGCGAAAGTATCCGAAAAATTCGAGTGCAGTGTCAATACTCGACACCATGTTTTGGCAATTGTAAACAGAATGTGAACAACGTTAGGTGTTAAAAGTTGTCTTCGCTAATAGACCCCGATTCTTCGTTTAAAACGCCGTTAATGGCGCCCGTGACAAGGTGAGAGGCTTGTTTACGAATTGCTGCCGAGTTTCAAATACGATGCGTCCACTTATCCAAAAGATTTTGCGATAAGATTCACCCGCCACTACTACATTTAATTTTAACGATTTTATCAATTTAAATGGACGTTCAAACCAATGTTATACTTATACTCAATATTTATTAAATTGCAAACTTCTAGCGCCATGTGATGAGCTTGTTTTTATATCTTTTGGTGAAGGTTCGTTAATATGTGTCACCTAATCACCCGTAAAATTTACCAAAATTAAATTTAAGCTCTGAAGTAGTGGTAGTAGTACAGTAGCCCGTGGAAGTTTCTTTAAAAAAGACACAAAAAAGACTATACGTCTCAAATCACAAACTATAGGGCTATTTTCCTTATCTGCAATTTCTGTTTAGAAGGTTTAGAATCTCTCCTACAGGTAAAAATATTTCACGTCATTAAGAACCCAATAGTCCCCCGACAACAACATGGTTTTTTTAAACTAAGATCCACCATTACCAATTTAACGACTATGTCTCAGTATATTTCTGAGGCTATTGATGAAGTTTCTCAAATGGACGTCATATATCTTGATCTTTCAAAAGCGTTTGGTCGGCTAGATCACAAAATTCTAATCCACAAGCTCCTTGTCTAACCGTACTCAGTACGTCTATCTCTACGGTCACACTTCCGATGAATAAAATTGCTTCTCCAGTTCTTCCTCAAGGTTCAATATTGGGGCCAGCGTAAGAAGTGATAAAAATATTATATGACTCGTCATATATGATCTTTCAAAAGCGTTTGGTCGCCTAGATCACAAAATTCGAATCCACTTGCCTTTGGATTTTCCGGAAAGCTTGTTAATTTGTTTTCTTCGTACTTGTCTAACCGTACCCAGTACGTCTATCTCTACGGTCACACTTCCGATGAATAAAATTGCTTCCCCAGTTCTTCCTCAAGGTTCAATATTGGGGCCGGCGTAAGAAGTGATAAAAATATTATATGACTCGTCATATATGATCTTTCAAAAGCGTTTGGTCGCCTAGATCACAAAATTCGAATCCACTTGCCTTTGGATTTTCCGGAAAGCTTGTTAATTTATTTTCTTCGTACTTGCCTAACCGTACTCAGTACGTCTATCTCTACGGTCACACTTCCGATGAATAAAATTGCTTCCCCAGTTCTTCCTCAAGGTTCAATATTGGGGCCGGCGTAAGAAGTGATAAAAATATTATATGACTCGTCATATATGATCTTTCAAAAGCGTTTGGTCGCCTAGATCACAAAATTCGAATCCACTTGCCTTTGGATTTTCCGAAAAGCTTGTTAATTTGTTTACTTCGTACTTGTCTAACCGTACCCAGTACGTCTATCTCTACGGTCACACTTCCGATGAATAAAATTGCTTCCCCAGTTGTTCCTCAAGGCTCAATATTGGGGCCAGCATAAGAAGTGATAAAAATATTATATCTCATACGTCAGGTCTAACTTGGAGTATGCATCAGTAGTTTGGTCTCCTGGAGGAAAAAATTCAGGGTAAGTTTTTGAAGTATGTATGGTATAAGTATATCCCCCACAAGGCTTTTCGCATATAATATTATTAAGTAGGTTTGGTTATGTGTGTCTGAGTGATCTCCATGATTACTATTATTTAATGACTATATTTAAAGTTTTACATATTACATAGACTAAATTCTGTGGTTTCTCGTATTAACTCTAGACATAGTAAGACATTCTTTCCGCCCTCATCAAGAACAAATATTTTATATTTCTCCTATTTTCTCAATGTGCTCCGAGTACAATGCTCAACACGATTTGGACATTTTTTGGCAATGTATTACTAAGGTAAAAAGGTTATTGCCCCTTAACTATAATTATTAAACTCACTCTTTTCCCATTTTCTTGTTTTTTTTTTTATTAGAGTTAATGTTTATGTTAGGCTAGACTAGACTCATTACTTGCAACAACTATTTAATACTACAACCTATTAAAAACATCGGAAGAGTGGCCTTCCAGTGCGCATCTAAAGCAATACCGCAGTAAAAAGATCAGTGCGGTCGGAATTGCTTAAAAAATTGAACCGCAAAAGACCAACAGCCAAAAATTTTTCCACTATTGCAGCTTATCATAGAAGCTAATGGTACTGGTATTGCTTCTTTTGTGGCCCAGGAACTTCTTTTACGAGGTCTAGGTTCGATCTATATTTGGGATTGTTGTGGTTAAATTAAGTCAAAGAAAGTAAGTTTTCGTTAGTTTTGGCTTAATTGTTGTAAAAATATGAATTTTTTTTGATAATTTTTTGTATAGACCCTATTAATCCCCTTACTGATTTTTCTAAAAAAGACGCCTTTTTAAAATATCAGCTCAAAATATTAATCCTGCTACTGGGGCTTCAACATGAGCTTCTAATAACCGTGAATGAAAAAGATAAACAGGTGTTTTAATTAAAAATGTTGAATTAACTATAGAGTAACTAATAAAGTATATTTATAAATAAATCCAGCGTATAAACGCTCAGGTGGATTGGATTTAATCTAACTTCAAAAAATAAAGAGAGAGTCAGTTAATAATATGATATTTTATTCATTTGCATTCATCTTCACAAGCGGGATATACGTACGTTTTCCATCGACCAGGTAACAATTTATTTATTTCTACATAGTGTCATGATTAGTATACAAAATATTAACTACAATAATAATAAACTATCAGTCACATAAAAATCGTCACTATCGCTACCGTCGTCAAATAGTTTTGGTTAGTTTTGGTTAGTCTTGCCGAATTACGTTTATGGTACTTTCATTAAATTTTGGTGCAGTGTTATTTCTTCTTATATGTGCTTTTACCAAATCATCTCAATCGGATTAAATATACAATTATACAATTATTAAAATGTTTTATTTTTAATAATTCCAGAAGTTGGTTCCACTTTATTTTCAAGCCAGTAACCAAAGAGAGCGGCTACAAGTGGTTACGGCGTTATTCACGAAACCCCCACCACCTCAACAAGTTAGACGCGACTAACCTACTTTACTTTGGGTCGCTTAAACGTCAAATAACATTACGGCGTAGCGTGGAAATAAATATGTCGCCATTTTGAGGTTAAGACTCGGAGATTAATGGAACGCGATTAGAATTTTTGCCCGTTTGAAGGAATTCTTCGCTAAATGCGCGCGTGACGCCATACCTGGTTGTTTTACCGGGCGTTTTTTTTCTGCCGACAAAAAGTTCGCCTCGCAGTAATTAATTTGTCATACGCGCACGCCTACGTTATTTTTCATTCGGCTTGAGAAATGACCGATGACTGAATTTCTGGCAATTTGAAATGGCGACTCTGCGGTAACACGAAAAACAACTAGCGGACGCACTATCCGCCATGCGTTTGAAACATGTGTTATACCGGGCGGTCTTCGAGGCTAGGATCAAAATTTTGTTTCGTATTCCGCTTAAATGTGTTCGCTTTTTATTTTTATGGAAAGAGCTGCATGCCATTCAAAATGAAATCAAAAATACAAGACGTTGATGCCTGCGATATAACAAATTGTATTTTATATTTATTTTTTAAATTTTAGTGATTATTTTGAATCGGAAAGTAAATATGGAACATGTGAGCAATCTCAGAATAAATATAATTCATTAATAGAAAATGCGCAAGTCTTTAATCAATCTTGTTTCTATGTCGCCATATGCTAGGGGCGATAATAGTAGATTATGCGGCAAGTTTATTAATAAAAAAGTACCTAAAACGTCCAACCACTCGTGACTAAAATACCGGAAACGTCCGAAGCGGCTCGCTACCACGGGTGACCACGCTGCTGTCTGACACTTTGATCAGTGGATCATTGAGTATTTTGGGGTAGGGAGTAGACAAAAATATTTTTCAATTCTAATTCTATGCTTGTCGTCGCCGAGTGCCACGAAGTGCCAGCGCGCTCAAGAATTGGATGCCAACACGTATGGCGAGTGGCTTTTCTTATCTTGTTAACTTAAAAACTTCGTCTATGAAAAATGAAAAATTTTTAGCATAGCAGTAGTCATCTTGAATGATCACGAGGCTG